AGCAGATTCTTAATGGGCATGAAATAGCGCAACTTTTCTCTAATTTAACTAATACTGTATCTCTTTTATTTATTTATTTATTTATTTATTAAATACACTGCTCTACAGGCTAAATGCCTAGTTATAGAGCAGGAAAAAAATTGTAATTACAAAAGTAAATATAAATATAACATATTGCACAATAAGACATAATTTGGATATAAGATAAATTACACAACATAACAAAACTTACACAATATAACAAAAATTACATAATATGACAAAAAATTAAATAAATTAATGACTATACACAAGCAAATAGTACCGAAACAGCTTTACAATTTTTTGAGCTGCGAAAGCTTACAAGAAAATAAATCAATTCTACCTTGCAGGTTGTTGCAGTTTTCACACATAAAATACAACGGCGAGTTTTTTTAATAAATTTGTCCGAGATAGCGGGAGATAAAACATTAAGTTGTTTCGAGATTCAGTTCTTGGCACTTTAAATACAAGTTGTTCTAATAACTCGGAACAATCAATTTGGTAGTTAATAAGTTTATAGAGGAATATTAACGAATGATTTTTTCGTCTACATTCTAAGCTTTGCATTTGAAATCTATTTAGAAGTAACGTGTGATTTATCCCAATTGGTGGATATGTTCCGTCTATCTTAAATGTCAAGAATTTTAGATATCGTCTTTGAACGTTTTCAAGAGCGCTTATGTGAATATCATAAAATGGTTTCCATATTATTGAAGCATATTCTAATTTTGATTTGACAAACGCATTGTAAAACATATTCATGGTTTCGATAGAATTGAGGTCAACTGCATGCCTAATGATAATTCCCAAATTTCTGAATGATGCTTTTACCACGTCATTTAGATGTTCATTAAAAGTAAGTTTTCTATCGAACTTTACCCCAAGATCTATAACAAAATCAGGCCTATTTAATATAACACCATCCAAACAGTAGTTATAGAGAATTGGAAAATCTTTTTTGGTATATGACACTATATTACATTTTTTTGAATTTAATGGAAGATTATTTTTTAAACACCAATTATTTATTTTATTAATATTACTTTGTAATTTAAGACAATCATTTAAGATATCTACCTGATAAAAAAATTTGACATCGTCTGCATAAATTAAATATTTTACGTTAACGTCATTAATAATGTCATTTACGAATAGTATAAATAAAAGCGGTCCCAGAATCGAGCCTTGAGGTACGCCAGAGGTTACTAAGATATCGACAGACTCAAATCCACGCACTTCAACAAACTGGGTTCTGTTTGTCAAGTATGATTGAAAAAAATTTATGACAGGCTTGGACAATCCAAACTTGCTAAGCTTTTGAAGTAATATTCTATGATCGAGTTTGTCGAAAGCCTTAGAAAAATCTGTATATATTACGTCTAGTTGACCGCCGCCATCAACTATTGCAGAACTGTATTGTGTAAATGAGAATAGATTTGTTATTGTTGACCTGTTCTTACAAAAACCATGTTGTTCGTCCACTATCTGATGTTTGACGTGTGGTATAATATTATCGTATAGTAAAATTTCAAAAACTTTGGCAAAATTACATATAATAGTGATGGGTCGATAGTTCTCAATACAATTTTTTTTACCTTTTTTAAAAACAGGACAGATTCTTGACCTCTTCCATGCATTAGGAAATGTACCAGTACGCAATGACAAATTACACTGTATACCACTCTGTATAATAAAAAAAAACAAATTCATCCTCATATTTTGTATTTTTTAATTAGCGTAGTTGAACAGTTGTTATTTCGAACTCCTCGCAAATAAAATTAACTTCAAACTTCAACGAGACATTAAACTATGCAGAAAATAAACAGACGCAGTTCCGGAACAGACTAGACGTTTAAAACTGTATATCCGGCGAAATAGTTGTCTATCAACAACGATTCTTATTTGTTTTTTTTTTTGTTGGATGCAAATCTGGTTAGTTAGGCGAGTCGACGCGTTCGCCAAAAACTCGTATTGTAAAACCGATTGTCGTTTGTTTTGGCGAATTCCAGTCGTGCTCGCTTGGATTTTCACTTTTCTGGCGAAAGCGCTATTACTGCCAGGGGGGTAATGTTTTTGTTTCAACAGCAAACATTTCAAAAGGCAGTGTTTTTAAACTATGGAATGGGTTATTATCTTTTGAAACAAATGTTTAAATCTGCAGATATTTCTTAGTGGTAGCCAAATTCAACTGTTTTTTCCAGTTGTGGTGTGTTATTCCATGTAGCTTGTTGGATTTATAAACTTTTTCAGTTCTTCATGTAGCCAACTTTTGGATTTTAGTATTATGGTCATTATTTAGTAAGACCACTTGAAAACTATTTGTTAACGTGGATTTTACTTCTTTTCGAATTAACATTATCACTCGGAGTAAGGGACGATTTATGCGCATCTCGGGCGTCGCAACTCGAGCGGAATACTTAATTTTTCGCATTTCGGGCGTAAGGCTACAGGTAGATTAAATACCCTTCGCAACTCGGGCGTGCAAGGATCGGTACCAATATTATGAATGTCACCTCTTTAGTTTAACCTGAGAAGGTGCTTTCGGCTTAAACTTAAAATTATATACGAAGTGCCGTACAAGAGGAGCTTGCCAGTTTTTAAATATTATGTAACTTTCATAAAACAAGATATTTTATCTTTCTCTGCGAAAATAGTCTTTACATTACATTGTTATGACATTTGCAATTGTCGTTTTTATTGAAAAAAGTATAATTTAATTTTTATATAATAATTAGATTGATAAATAATAGTGTACCTACCTCGGCTAGCTATTTAATTTTTATTTTAATACATTTTTTATGTACAGCGTGTCTGTGTAAGTTGGCTACATATAGAAAACTTTTTCTTTATTAGTTTTATAAAAAAAAATTAATCGAACCTTAATATTTCGAGTGTAGTTCGCAAGTCAGTTTTTCCGTTTTGTGACGAAAGTCTAATTTATTTTTAGTTTATTTATTTAAAACACACTATTTTCAGACGTACTATTTAATTTATATAATACTAACTAACAAGTCTAATTTATTTTTTACACTTTAACTTTCCAATACAATGTTCTATATTAAAACTGTCTATAATCAACTGACCGCCGTCTTCATACACGCGATATTTATATCAAGCCAACTCTGTAACCAGAATAATCCCGATGGTCGGGAAAATTCCAATTCTGACTCAACGGCACACTCCGTCCGTTCTACCCGTTTCTCGAGCCTCGGCGACATTCCCAGAATATTCCATCGCCTCTAGCATGAATCGGCTGTCCAGACGTGAAGGCCTCGTGCTTAGACAGAGTCGGACTTAATAATTTCATGACAGTTCGTTAAGTCTTCCACGATGGCATTTATTTGTCGGTCAAGATTACTGTATTTTGTGACTCTTTTATTTAACTATATTTTAATATTATATTTAAACGTTGTTATGTAACTAAAAGTTATTCATTTTGTTAAATATATATAATATGTAAAAGATTATTGTATTTCAACCTTTTTAACGTTTGGTTAATAATGTAAACCAAATACATACGTTATTTTAATATTAATTATTCTAGTTGATTTTAATATTCTTTTTAAATGTTATTATGTAATTGTGGTTCAACCGAAAGTTGGATATTAAGATACATACACGTTTAATATTAACGTTTCTTTAAATTACATAAAACTCGTAATAAATACGTTATTGTATCGAAACACTTTGACGTTTTGTTTATATTTTACCTAAAAATATTAATTATTCTACTTTATTGCAATCATATTTTTAAACATTTTCATTGATTATACTTAGAATATTAAGTTGGTTTATGTTTGTTATGTTGTAAATGGCCAAGATTTGAAAAATTTCTCATTTATAAGAAGAGAAAGAAGATGGGTTATGTTGTAGTCATTTTATTTTAAGTAATATAATTTTATTTTAGAGACAACCATATATTCTAAATAATTGGAAGTTTGCGTCTGTTGTTGGATACATTTCTGAAATATCAGTATGTTATATTTCTGATAGGTTTCAAATTATTATTTATAAAATATATGAAATATTACATTTACAGGATATTTTTACATTTTAGGAATGTTTTAGAAATGTTTCTGAGGCATTTTGTAATATTTATATATTATTTTATCATATTCATGATTTCCTTAAAATGGTCCGTATTCGAGAATTTTGACAAAAAGTGCAAAATTCGAATTTTAAAGAAAATTCTTCAAATAAAAGTTGCTTACAATGTAATTCTCTATAATTTTTGTTCCATACATTTCTCTAAAATAGACTGAATTCGGGAAATTTGAGGTAAAGTGCAAAATTCGAATTGTTCTCATTATTTTCACTTATAATACCACTAATGACTAAATTATTTCCGGAAATATTTTAGAAATCGCGAATAATTTGAAAATGATCCCGATATCATGCTCTATATTTTTTATTCTACACATGATTTCTCTAAAATAAACCGTAATGGAAAAATCTATCTGTTAAAATCAAAGCTTGTTCGGCGATGTCATTCATTTCTCTTAAATTTTCGATAATTCATTACTACCTGAATCAGATTGTAATCAGAATCAGGGTACATAAACTATGGTCAAATTTCATATCCCGTCGACGCCCGAGTTGCGAACTCACAGGTGCACAATTTTGGAGGGCGCCCGAGTTGCGACGAATTCAGGTAGTTTTATATTACGCCCGAGTTGCTAACGCACGAGTTGAGAAAGTAGCTAAGGGACATTGTCAACGGAAGGGGGGGTCTTGGAGGGTTTAGACTCCCCATGGTGCTAATGTAGCCAGGGTTTAAGCCCCTTTGAAGAAAAGTTATTTAGCCGCTAATGGTAAGGATTGCTGCATAATGGCATGAATCTATATCAAAGTTTTTTTCAGTATGAAAAAATCCGATACGTCTGGAATTTTATTTGGATATGACGGCCAAAAAGTCAAAAAATTTAAAAGTACATGTTTCATTAATCAGTTACCTATAAATTAGTTTTATTTTTACTTACGTTTGGTAGTTGTGATGTTGTTGAACTAAGAGCGGCTGATGACTGGTAGCCTGTTGTTGATTTTGCTGTTGACCTAGTAACCTTTGCTGCTGTTGTCTGGCTATTTGAGCAGCGAAAACGCCGTATCCGAAACCGTAGATTTCGTCTTCTTCTTTGTCGCTCAAACAACTTGATGGCTGAAACAATGTTAAACAACGGTTAGTTGACAGTTGGTCAATACTTTACTATTTTTTTATATATTTCGAGCAATTTATACTTCAGTAGTTTTTACGTTAAAACAGTGACATTTTATAGCAGATTACCTAAACAGAGGAATCAATAGTACAATGCATTTAAAGTATATCAACTCTTTTCTCATTATCTATCTAGCATTCTTATTGAGAAAGCAGGTGTTTTCGAAACTTATTAGTAATTTTATTTTTGTTTTTTGTTATTTTACTTTTGGTAAGATTTTGAATAGATCGGGTGCTAAATCTGGATAATATGGTGACTGTCAGACCAATTTAAAATGTGCTTTATGTTATTATTATTCTATTATGAGAAATTTCTGAAGCGTCAGCCACTAATAGTGATAACGTAATTAGATGCAAATAAAAAAGTCTATGCTAAAATAAAACTTATTGCAAACCTGATGTTTTGACATTTGAGTCCTTGTCGTTATGCAGATTCCTAACTTCATTTAAAAAACATTAAATCATGTTGTTGTTGTTGTTTTTGTTGTTGTTGTTGTTGTTGTTGTTGTTGTTGTTGTTGTTGTTGTTGTTGTTGTTGTTGTTGTTGTTGTTGTTGTTGTAGGTTATTTTGTTGTGTATTGTGTTTCAATTATTTTGTGCTGATTTAGAATGGAAAATAAGGACAGAAACAACATTTTTACTAGGTTGTAAGTTTGAGAAAATTCTATTTTTTTAAGTGAACCTGCCGTTCTTTGATATAAATTTTCAATAATAATGAATATTAATGACTTTAAAATAAAAAAAAATATTTATTTTTATTTGTTATCTTTTCGCAACTGGTCACATATAGAAATTTTTCGAAACCAGTATCATAAAGTTCATCACTATGTAACTGGTTTCAACTGGTCATTTTGACATTTGGTGTGATTACAAAAAAAGTCACTTCATATGTCAAAATTAGAAAAACGCATTTACAAAGAATACGATTAGCACGCTAATATTTACTGAGTATTACCTCTCTATCAGCAAAAAACTAGCAATATTAATTTTGTGTTTTTACTGGCCACCTACTTTTGCATTCAATTTTGCAAAATATTAACCCGGTAACTATTATATCAAAAAAATAAAGTTATCCTCTCTCATCTCATAAATATTTCAAGCAAAAACCGTAAATCTAGTCGTCTCTCATCCTAGCTCTCGAGTATGACACAGTGAGAGCGTTTTATCGAACATTTTATCGCTGACCTGCATCTTAAAAGTAATTTATCGTCTAGCGAAACTCATTAGATGCATTCCTCCTCTTCATTAATGTTACAAAGTAAATTATTTTGTAAAGTGAGTGTTTGCGTCGGGAAACGAAGTGACTATCGTTTTATCTTATCAAATATTGTAAAATAGTCAATGGGATTTTGAGAAAAAAATTAACACTTTTGACATTATAACCAGTAACGTCGTAATTTCCTTTGCCGTTAAAACCGATCAGACCCAAATAAATCGAGTATTTTAATTACCTATCTCATATTGACTATCAATGCATAATGCTTGATATTCACCTATGTTGACAGCAACTTGCATACTTAACTATAAGTGTAATATTTATTGTCTCAGTACTATCTAATATCAAATTAGTGAGAAATCTGTCAAACTAATTGTCAAGGTCACTTTTTATTAAACATAAGTGATTCTGGTGTACCGCTTACTTCAATTTAGGCCCTATACTTTTCTTAATATTTGTCAATCATCTCCTTCTACGTACTACATCAGATAACCTCATGTATGCAGATCCTAAAGTGTTTAAGAAAATATCCACCATAGACCTTCAAAATGACAGGCTCAATTTCGGATTGGTAATTAAAAAATAAATTACTTTCTATTATTTCCAAATGCAAGGTAATTAGAGTACGATAAGATTACGATGACAAGTCAGAATTAGATGCGTAAATTGGCATTATTAATTGAAAATATAAAGAATTTCACAAAAATTCTAAAAAGTATTTTTTAATATTTAAAATAAAACACATGTATTGCAATAAAACAAACAATTAGGTTATTACTCTAGTCAATGGCTTATATTGAATTAGAAAATTATCCAAGGTAGTAAGTTGACATTCTAAAAAGTAAAACTGTCACGTATATTTGGTTTAAATAGAGAGACAATCTTGAGTAAAAGGACTCGAGTAAGGACTGCGGTTCGAAACTCTTGCCTAAAGGCAAGACTCTCGTTACGGGACCATAAGTCCCAAAACACTGTAATGTGTAAAGTAAAGTTATGTGCAGCGATTTGTGTACTATAGGTAAATATCTCTAAATTATTTTAAAAGGGTTGTTTGGTTTTGTTTTGAAATAATTCATTTCCATATAAATGTCAATTTTTACATTTTCGTTCCAAATTTATACATCTTTCATTTAGCTTATATTTATCAATAGTAATTTATTTCAATATTTATTTCTTAAACATGAACTGCTTATTTATTTTTGAGACTATACAGCCGTATGCATAGTCGATCGCCAGCGACTCGCCAGAGATTCATTTCGGCGTATCGCCAGCGATTCGCTGGCGATCCGCCGGCGAAAGCCCAAAAAGCTCTGGCGACTCGCCGGAGATTGTCACCGGAATGTCATTTCACGCAAGTTTTCATGTTCTTTTATAGGAAAAAATTTGATATTCGTTCATTATTTTTTGAGTTTTAAGAAATGAATCATGAATAAAATGCGAGAGGTACCGGTGATAATCCAATAAAAACTCCAAGGCCGGATATTTTGGTAAGTAATAGAGATATTTTAATTCTGTAAAAGTCAGTTTACAGAGCACTAAGAGAGCTTCATATAAATTAATTTTAAATAGGTCAATATATAGGTGGCGCTGCACTCAATAATTTTTTTCGATGGGAGGATCTTTTTTGTGTAGTGCATTTTGTAAAAAATGCTTTTTTAGACAGATTTTGTTCTATGGACTAATTCTATAAATCCAGCCATTTTTGATATACAGAGTGGGTCACTCAAAACAGTTTCATCCCGTTTTTCGGCATTAATCGTTGGATTTTAAGAAAAAGCTAAAATAGATCGATTTTTATTTCAGATTAAACACATTTTTACAATACAAACATCTGTCATGTGTCAACCCCCTCCCTTCAACTTCTCCAACCCCTTAATTTTAAATAAGGAATGTACCATGTACGGCACATCGTTGAAAAGGTAATTTTATGGGAAAGTCAGAAATATGACTATTTATTGCGATACTTTTAATTTTAGCGCCCTCTATCGGGATAAAAAAACCTGCAACGTATCATAAAGTGTGACACTTCATTTGAAAGCTAATTTAATTACTAATTCAATGCATCACATAACATTAATATAAATATTTCTTCCATATTACACTTGCAACAAAATAAAGTTAGCAATAATGTTTAAAATAATGCATGACTACTTTTCAAACTATTGCAAGTGCAATATAGAGGATATTTATATAATGTTATGTGGTGCATTGACTTAGTAATTAAATTTGCTTTCAAATAAGGTGTCACACTTTATAATACGTAGTTTTTAATCCCGATAGAGGGCCATAAAGTTTAAGTAACGCAATGTACAGATATATTTCTGAATCCCCATTAAAATACCTTTTCAATGATGTGTCATACATGGTACATTACCTATTTAAAATAAAAGTGTTGGAGAAGTGCAAGGGAGGGGGTTGACACATGACAGATGTATGTATTTTAAAAATGTTTTTAATTTGGAATAAAACTCGACCTGTTTTAGCATTTTCTTAAAATCCAATTATTAATGCTGAAAACAGGATGAAATCGTTTTGAGTGACCCACTCTGTATATCAAAAATGGCTAGATTTATCAAATTAGTTCATAGAACAAAATCTGCTTAAAAATGCATTTTTTACAAGATGCGCTGCACAAGAAAGATCCTTCCATTGAAAAAAAAAAATATTGAGTGCAGCATATTGACCTATTTAAAATTAATTTATATCTTAAACTGAAGCTCTCTTAATGCTCTGTAAACTGACTTTTACAGAATTAAAATATCTCTATTTCTTACCAAAATATCCGGCCTGTGAGTTTTTATTGGTACACACTCATGGGCGTCGTTTGGGGGGGGCAAGGGGGCAGTTGCCCCCCCCTGGCTTTTACGACTATACAACGCGTAATGGCTGTATGTCCAAAATTGTATGTATGTACCAAATTAAGTACTAAAATTTAGCCCTAAATCAAGTTATTAATTTAGTACTAAATTGAGTATAGGCGCACGCGCATTGACGTATTATTACGTGAAATTAGCACAGAAATAAAATATTCTTTATAAATGAGAGAAGTAAATTAAAAGATGTATTTATTATGACTTTGACACTAATTGACTTGACAATAACTAAATGCAGCAATGCTACTAAAAACCACGAAAAAACAATAAAACCTACAAAATCAAACACAAGCGAAATTTGTCCAAGGCGATAAAGCAAAGGCGATAAAGCAATAATAGTTGCTGTGTTGTAAATTGTAAAAATACTAGCAGAAAAAACAGTGTAAATTTTATAAATTTTTAGTAGCAAAATGGAAATTAAATCAAAGAAATAAATGGATAGCTGTACAATAAGAAGAAAAAAACCTTTAATTTTGTAATAATAACAGTAATAATGGAAATAGTAGACATCAGAAAATTGAAAGGTTTTAAATAAACAATAAAGTATTATTTTACAATGTTGTTCAACATCTCTTTACTCTTAAATGTTGATCAAGGATTAGATTTCTGCCTTTGATTATTGTATGTGGCTGAAATGCCTTCTTGTGACTTATTGATAGGAATTCAATTTTATTCCTATGGGTTCTTTATTCGAACTAAAAATAAAGAAAATATGAATTACAATCGCAAATTTACCAATTATTTTTGTTAATACTACGTTATTATATAATAGTAATGTTTTTGTTTTCACATTATTTAACCTTTTCTTCAATGTTAACTTATTAGGCTTAGGCAACGTATACATTTACTCGTAAATATATAATAATAATACCCTCCCTAATTCACCCCCTTACGAGTGAATTTTAACCCCAAAAGCTGAGCTTGTGCGGGGAAAGGGACTGCTATTATTATTATTTGCCGTGGCGCTCCGGGGCGACTTAAAGATGATTAATGGTGACATTTGACTTACAGGTGAGGAAAACCCGGAAAACCCCACTCACCATCATCGAAAACGGTAATGCATGGTGATTTTATTTTAATAATTTGGATGTCATATCAACAAAAATTAAATTTCTGCTAATATTGAATCCATCAAATCCTATAGAGAACCATGCAAATAAATTGACATGGTCTTTCGTAGGATCTGAAACCGTGTCTCGTTTTGCCAGAAAATTGGCTGACAAATGAATGCCGCGCCGTAACACCTACACCACCGTAGCCTGCCTATGTTTTATTATTGATTATACTACTTTTATTTTAGCTGAAGTACCTAATAAAAATATATATTAATTACTTTTTTTCACTTGTTTTACAAATCTATATACTTTTATTAAAATCAACATATATATTTTTTAATTCCAATAAAAATTGTATTGTCAGTATACGCAAATATCGTCCGTTAGTTCATAAATTAGTTGGCGCTGCTGTCACTGCAAAGCGAATAATGAATGAAAATAGGCTGACTGCGCTTTGCATGATGAACGTACATCGAAAAATAATCGCAAAAAATAAAAAGAAATCATGTTTTCTGTTATCGATTATTTTAGGTAGAGGAAGAAGAAATTAAAAATTTACATTTTGCTAGTGTTCGTCGACGTGTTTGAGTGACTTTTTTTGTTTTTGTGTTTTTATAAATATTTTTTTTTATATATATTATGTATGGCTCTGTCTCCTTGTTCATATTTGTCTTTTATCTCACACCTTCTATTTGTTTTTTAAAAATATGTGTTTTAAGTTTCTTGTTTTTTTTTATTTTAGTTTTTGTCTTTTTTGTTAGGTTATTTTATTTATTAAAAACTTTTGTTAATTTGTATTGCTCTTTTATTTTTCACTTCTCTGTTTTTCAACTAATAAACATTCTAAATTTTTTCAAAATTTTGCCCCCCCCCCCCTATAGAATTGTGTAACGACGCCCATGTACACACTGTATATTTGTGTATACCTAAATGTCCAGTTTGTCATTTACTTTTTACTACTTGTTTCCGATATCTTACAAAAATTTTGGCGAGTTGATTCGAAATGTACTTTTATTTTAATGATTTGATTAAATTTGTTTTTTTTACATTTATAGTGGCCCGATGATAGCTTAACAGCCGAAAACGCTTGCGAATATTAATCACACTTCAAAATACTTTCATTCGTTTCTTTTCTTTATCTATCAGTGTGTACACACCTACAACTTTTAATTAAGAAACTAAGGGCACGATACACAAATAAAACCCGAAGAATTCAGAAAAAATAATCTACTTAAAATAACCCTACTGCGCAGCAGAAAGAGGTAGCAAAATATCATCATATACACGTACAAAGTTGCGGTCAGAAGCTAGCAAAATTATAACGTGGGTGACATTGTAGACGATATAATGAGTCAAAGACGTACGTATGTTAATAGAGGATCATAACCGGGTTTTACAGTCTTGCCCAGTGACCATATCCTCCGGACCATTATATCGTCGACTCGTGACATCTTTACAAAAATCTTTTGAAAGAGTAATGAAGTGCCTCGGTAGTCGTTAACGGTAAATTAACCCGCGAGGTTTACGAGAAACTGCCATTTTTATGGGGGCCTTAAACGGTTCCAGTTGTAAATATACACTTTATTGAGGCAACTCATTGTCTGCAAATGCATTATTACACTGCAGCAGAATCCATTGTATAAATTTTATTAACGCTTGGTTATTTGTTTATCTTTGTTTTATGTAGTGCAAGTATTCTGCATTACAGCTGTAATTTAAATAATATATTTCATTTCATCTAATGTAATATTAAAAATATTATTTTTATGATGCCAGAAACCCATTTTTAAAAGAACATTCGTATTTTTTTATTAAATAAAGTACATCGTAATGTAGGTGAGAAGTTATTCAAATTACGAATTAACATTAAAAAAACATTTATTACAGTAATGGAAACTCTGATATTTTAGCTACTATTCACATTAATCAGTCCTTTGTTAATATCAGTTCAATGCATGCAAATCTTCAGTCTACCTAATCTTCCATGACTCATTAGAATACTTATCATAAACCCTGCTATTAATAAGCATGTTTACAGGGACTCCTTAGTCATGCACGATTTAATCATTAAAAATATATTTGGCGCTTTCAAATAGCTCTACACATGGTGAACAACTGATGTAAAAAAGGAACATTAACACACAAAAAACGATGGTTGTACCATTCACAAAAAATTAATATACTCTGACAAACACAATTAAGTATCTCATCAGAAATTAAACAACGATTGATGAAAGGATGCCTAGAAGAGCTAAGAGAGCTAAGTAATCAAAACAAACTGACCACCGCCCTGGTACCCGGGCCATGAAGGGCATCGGAGCAACTAAAAAGCCGATGAATTATTTCGAAAAGACTCAAAAAGTTTATGACTAGTCCCGAAGCTTTCTGAAGGGCATCTTAAGCTTTTGTTAAACAATGGACAAAAAACGAGTCTCAGGAATGATGGAACAACTATCCAGGACTTTAAAGAACCGTTGGGCATATTCGCAAGATACCTAGTTATTAGGAATCTTTATGATAACAATAGGTATGCGTACCGGACACTGTCTTCCCAAAAGAAAGTACATGAGTGCCATTATTCGAGAAGGACCAACATTTTTGAGGATCTGCGAAGAAGAAGAAGATGGCGAAATATCAATCCATGCCTTGGGTATTGTGAAAGCCTGACTATATTGATGTTTCCAACGCTATGCCTGACATGTACCAATACATGTGAGAGCTATTGTTAAAATAGGCAGGTAATCTAATCTGTAATCTATCTACTTTTAAGACAAAGTTCGTTAAATATAACTGAAAGTTATTTTTGCTTACCGAATACTTTCCAGGTACGTATATAGGTTGTGAAACGGATGTCGTTAATGGCCCCGAGATTGGCGTACCTCTACCCGTTGGACTGTAAGTGCCCGGAGGAGTTTCTGGAGTGGTGGCCTTTCGATCTATCGGCGACGTTTCGCTCCACTCGATCCTCCTAAGGTCCTCCAAGTGACCCAGTACGTCTACGTAGTGCGTACTGAAGAGATCCGCGTACCGAGATGCTAGGCCTTCGAGGTAACCTCTGTCGCCATCCTGAAAATAAAAACGTGTTAAATATCAAATGTTGAAGATAATTTTCAAATCACAGCAGAAATAAAGTATTGGAAACATTTCAAGAAGAAAATATGAAATGATGGCGTAAAACTCAAGTAGAGAAAATACGAGTTCTGTCCAAAAAGTATTCGACCTTGTTACGCAAGAGCGCAATGTTGATCGCTAACAGTGCTGGATTGCTGACGACTTCGAAGGAACGACCCCAGCAACTATATTTAAGAGCATATGACAGCTGGAAAGCTCTTGTTGGAATATCAGAACGCGCTAGTTGCTTTGTCACTAAATTTGTCGGGTATAAACTAAATAAAAAAAATTCACTAGTCATGCAGGTTTTTCATGTATTCCAAGAAACGGTTTGATGCTATAGCTATCCAATCAGAAAATCTCTTGGGTAAATAAATTAGGCGTATGTATAGACAAGGTACTCTAAAGGTACTCTAAACAACGATTAAAGGATATCCACAATACATCTGAAAAGGTCGAGCTGTGAGAGGTCACATGGTCCACAGTCCTCCTAATTGAATCTAATCTCTACACCTCATAGTTCTAGCCGCTACTACGCGCCGCATGTCGAGCCCACTTTTATCGACTTGGAAGACGACCTTCGTTCTGTTTTATAGGCGGAAGACTACAATATAATTTTTATTAGTCTTACTATACATTTTTTAAATTTTTTTTGCAGTTACTTATGTGGGTATAAGGCGTAGATTGTTGTGGAAATCCGGTGGAAGACGATATTTTATAAAAGCTTTAATTTTTTACTGGAATTACAATACTACCACAACCCCCTGTTGTACAACTCAAATGGAAGACGACGATTTTACTTAAATATTATTTAAATAACTCATATTCAAAGAATATACCTTGCGAAAATGGTTCATTGAAACATGTCATTACCTCACGGTCTAGTTGCTTTAGACCGTTGGTTAGCAATCCTAGAGTCGATGACCTTAGGTGGCATAGTTTTAATAGATGTGGGTCATCATATTCAGTGTATTCAAAATTTAATTACTCATTTAATTATTGGTAATATTTTTCTTTGTTCTAAGACAGTCTAAATTAAAATCTAATGTCTACATGTATTTCAATAAGACCCAGTATAATAGACGGAAATACATACTAACTACTTTAAGTAGCAATCTATCTTAATTAAATGGTAATACATTGTAACTATGTTCTCTTTAGCCTTTAAGTTTTGGATTAAGTGCTAAATATTTTATTTCCGAATCTGTATCTAAACGAACATATCATCTGAGATAAGACCGCTAGCTCTGGAAAATGTTTAGAAAACCATATCAATTGAAAAGCATCTTATCAATCCAACGGGCCTTATAGTTGTTGAGATCTAAGGCGACCAAAGCGAAATATATTCAAGCTTGGTTTATAAACCAAATTGGATTCTGAACTTATCGGTTACCGATGAGGTATAGAGAGACGGCCGCACCAACAATGTTTGTTTTCACTCCTTCCGGCGCTTTCAATCTTTTCGTATTGGCATATAAAAGAGAATTTCTTTAAAGTAGTTTGGTATTTTACCACATTAATTCTTTATTCATTAAGAGGCAAGTAGGTAATTTACAGTGATTTATTGATTGAATATATTGAATTTTGGTTTATTACCAGGTATTTTCCACAAGAGAAAATTACCTACCCAAAATCAGGTATTGAAAAATAACCCCAAATTTATTGTTAAATATAAAGGACGTGGTATTTGTTATGGAAAGCAGTAGATGACACTACACACTTACTTGGTGGAAAGATCTTTAGGGCACAAATATTACTGGCAGACGTTGTAATTAAACGTTTGAGTGCACTCGTAACTTCTGCTTCTACTGCACGGTCCTTTAGCACTTTCAGCTGTATATACAGCAAAAAAGAAATCAATTGATTATCACAGAAAGAGTTGCCCAAAATTACCTACTTAGCTCACAAAAAATGGAAGCTTCTTCTGTATCTGTAATGTATAAAGGATTACTCCTACGGTAATTAGGCCTCAGTAGGCCCATTGTGCATCCTCCTAAGATGATAGGCACCTCCTAGCTCGTGAGCCAGCCTACAGATTTAATGTAGTTGACAACGTCGCCAAGAGGTGCTTCTCTTATATCGGCCGGTGTTAGACGATACTCGCCGAACACAAATCTTCTAATAAATGAGAGCGTCAAGCAATCGTAGAGGATATGCTCGATTGTATCATCTTCTTGTTCGCACCTTCTGTAGAGTTCGGATTCTGACAGCCCCATGATATGGAGATGCTTCCGTACTTGGCAATGACCAGTCAGAATGCCTGTGACTAGACGCAGATTCTGCCTAGTCATAGTCAAGTATTCGTTTACTGCAGTGGCAACTCTGCAGTTTCTTGTTTCATCCCATCTTTCCTTGAATTTCACAAGGGAATGTTCTTTGATTAGGTCTGTCACTACCGATTTTGTCAGATCAATAGAAGGGCCAGGTCCAAAAAGTATTTGGTATGCTGCTTTCTCGGCCAGTGAATCAGCAAAACGGTTACCTTTCAATGTGGCGTGACCTTTGATCCTTCTTAAGGTTGATGGATACTTGGGCCAAAACTTCGTGACATTCTAGTACTAACTCTGAATAAATTCGTGGTCTGTTCAGGGTGAGTGGTGCTTGTCTGCTATCTGTATAGATGAGCATGTTCCTTCCAGTGATATCGTTGCTGATGATTTATTTTGCTGCTATGAAAATCCCCGTGAGCTCTGTTTGAACTACACTGGCACTATTGCTCACAGCCCATTTTATGTTAAGGTTTAAGGATCTGGAGTATATTTCACATACTGAGCCTTGTTTTGTTTTAGAACCGTCGTTGTAGATATAAATCGTACCTGCCACTTCCCGCTCTTCTATTTGTTCTGTTACAACTTTATATGGCTTATGGAAGACATATCTCGGTGAGATAGAGTCCATGTTCTTTTGAAGCAGTGAGAGCGTATCGAGCGCCTCCTGCCAAAAGCCACGTCTTGCCTCACCAGATCCTACATTAGGTTCCATTCCAACCGTGCGGAGGCGTGTCATTGTCGTCAGAGCAACCTTTTTGATGTAAATATCAAGGGAAGTGAGACTAAGAAAAGTCCGGTGATGCTCTAATCCTTTAAGTCCCTCTCTGCCTTATTTAGGCCTCTTCCGGATTCCACTTTTACGAGTACACCAAGCTATATTGTCAGATACCTCCGAAACCCCCTAAGATAAGCCTATGCTTTGCCACGGCTGGTCGAAGTAAATTATTCATTCATTTTAGACTGATTACTGCAGCAGCGCCTAGACAACTATTTCGGCGAATGCATTATTCTATAAAATGGAGGAAACACTGGTCTAAGAACGTTTGGAATGTTCACGAAAGCCATATGAGTATAAATAGCCCACGTTTGCATAAGTAAGCTGAAGTTGAGAGATCGTTCTCTGTACATTAATATTGTTAAACAAATTACTATATGTATAAGAATGTTCGTATAAATTAGTATAGTATTTGAGTATAAATAAATGAATTAATGTATAAGTGTAAATAAATTAAAATATAAGTAAACTGTTCAAATAAATAAACGTTATATTCTGAATAAAAGTAAACCAAATTCGAACAGGTTCAGTAAATGAAACGGGTGGTCAGTCAAAGTAGCCCGATATCACCGACCTCGGTACAGGAATTCATCAGAAAAAAAAGAATTATTTTTAGGAAAATGAAGAGAGCGACAGCTAAGAAAGGCTTTACGTCTTTACGGACATAGATTCATCAGACGAATAAGATTCTGAGGAAGTTCCTTTAATGGAATCGGAAGATAAGTATCAAAACAATCTAACTCAGACAATTATTTAGATATTTTGGAATAAACATTTCTCAAGCCAACTACCTAGATAGATATAGAAAAATAGTACAAATAATAAATAAGATGAACATCCGTGAAAAGAACTTTTTTATTATTAAAGATGATCTAGTTAACTACTTATATGTTTTTTTTATGAACAGTAATCAAAATAGTACGAAATGTCAATGTTAACAATTTAATCGTCAAATCCATTTTACTATTAATATGGAAGTCTTCCTCTAGTCTTTATAGTCTAGTCTTCATAATATGGACATAGACATATTTGACAGCAGACGCGGAAAGTAGATATTTACACATGGGAGGAAAGTATTGATATGGAAATTCATGACGTCATCAAATTTATGATCTAAATTGAACTATACTGGGGTGGTGAAGTGTCTTGAAATCAAAATTTAAGTAAAAATCAAAATGTCGGGGTTTTTGTTGATTTAAAAAAAATGTCAGATAGGGACCGTGCGTCATGACTTTAACACCAACTGGTGACAATAATGTGAACTTTATGGGGGGGATTTATTAATGTTTTATACGGCATTAATTGTTTAGTAATTATTAATTAAATAAAGTCGAATTATTTTCGTAATATCATTATCGAAAAAACTTGTTGCATTCGTGGATGTACAAACACATCACTTTGGAAACCTGGATTTGATTCGATAGTAAAGAAATTTTTTAAATTTCCACAGAGCACACTTTGCGTCTCACACCCAATGATATACATAATTACATATATTGCTTATCCATAACGTAAATCAGACGACGAAAAGCGTATTTCATTGGGCAAAGTTTTCTTTTTATCTATAATCAATTTTGAGCACTTAATTGTAAACAAATCATTTACAGAACCGGTTTAGAAATTAGAGTCTTTAGTGTTTTCTTGTCATTAAGATTTTTACACATTTAAATAAACATTTTATATAAATATAATTTTACAGATAATTAATGGTTTATTCTGTTAATTAAAATTAATGAAGAATGTTACTGTGAAATTAGAATGTCCAATTTGACAAAAATATCATGGCCCTCTATACAATTTATTAACTATTTTTCATTTATCACTAAAATAAACAAATCATAATTAATACATTTTAATTACTGTCAAAAGAGATTGCAACAAACTTTAAAATATTAAAAATCCACTGATTTTTT